GTATGCAAAGCGAAGCCGAATGTAAACTATGCCGAAATTAATGCAAACAAGCGCTGACCACTACATAATATTTTAATCGTACCGCCATAATCCAAATATTTGCACAAGGACCCGCGTAATCCTAACCATTTCTTGCTATGAAATTGTTCAGATAATGTTCATGGGTCACGCGGACAGCGGGCATATAGTTCGCATACATTTTCCATCGACTTCAAAAAGGAACCGGTACTCAATTCGGCTGTATGTTTTTTTTTATAGGATAGGGTGACAAGCGAGCAAACAATCCACCTAATGGTAAGTGGTTGCTATCGCCCATATACATCTACATTTATCCTCGTATGTGAATCAAAATTCAGATGGGTTGTCACCCGTGAGGACTAAGATGGAATGCCTCTTTTCCAGTAAAAAGGGTCTCCGGTTCTCTACACTCACCATACGAAACACAACAGTTTTAAGCTGCTATTTTACGCTGGTATTCTATGAGAGCGTGGTGCTTCCCCGGTCGAACCGACCCATTCGTGCTACAACTATACTACTAATATAGCTGCAGCATGGCTCTACCACGTATAGATTGTGTGTTACCTCATAACTTTTTACTGGTTGAACCGATTTCGATGACTCTTTTTTTATTTGAAAGCAGGTGCTTCACATGTGGTCCCATAGAAATTTGATCAAAGTCTGACCAAATAATGTTTGAGTTATTCTTAATAATTTATATTAAACTCGGTGGTACAAAATTTTTAATTTTAAATTATTAATATACACATACAAGTGACGTCACTAAATGTACACAGAACCTTCTTATTTATTACCCGTTGCTGGATATGGAACTTAGCCGTCAGTACTTTAATCGCCGCGCTTGGCAGGGATTGGCAACCGCAGTGCCAGACATCTATCATCCTTGACGCTACTTCCGGTCATATAAGGATGTAATTTTCTTCTGGCGTTAAGGAAGTTACCGCTATCTATCGAAAGCCATAAAATCTTTCTCGCATCGTCCACAGGCGATGGGAAAAGGGTTATTAAGAAATACTATTTAACCGTCACCACACAGTCTAACTTCTGGTCAACGATTACTATACATATCAAAGTTGGTGGAGGAAAACATCGTAAGTGTCCCCTATCTGGTTCATGGAATTTACATGTTTTCAAAATATTTCTTTTAATTTTTTAGACATAACGTGCATGTCAGCGTGGTCTATATTTCTTATGCTAAAACACTCTAAGAAATAAGAGATCTGTTGAGAGAGACCCTACTGTGAGACGTATCTTTCCGTCCGAATACAATCTGGGCGTCTTCAAGGCAATAGTGAATAGGCTTTTGTTATGCTAAAACAGCGCGATTTAGAATCTAAAACTGCATCACCAATTACCACCAGGTGGAATTGTGGTCAAGCACTGGCTTATAATATGTAAAAAAAAAATCTGGTTTGAGATGGACTGTAAGGATGATGATATAATGAGCCAGAGGATACAGGTAATGCTTTTCTTCAAATAACAGTTACCCCTGACCATATGTCTACCTTCTGTCACTCAACATTTGAGGGGATCAGTGATTTGTTTGTCGTCTTTAAGCTTCTTCAAAGCCACAAAGCCTATCTAGCCAGTCCTGAGTCACCTGCGTCCATCGACTTCTTGTATGTCTTACCAGGTCATCACTCCATTTATTGGGGGCTGCCTTATTCTTCGTTTACCGTTACAAGGTTACCACTCTCAACCATTCTTCCACAACAGTTATCGGTTCATCGAACTATATGGCCGGACTAATGCGACTTCAGCGTACTGATCCATTGAGCTATATGTCGATTACTTCGGGCCCAGAATTATGTTAGATGATTTTCTGATGTATGTTTGCATTGAATTTCTTAATTCTATTTCTAAAAATAAATCTCTGAAGTCGTGTCCTTGGTTTTATATATATATATATATATAAATATTTTGTATGGGAATATAGATAAGTGTTGTTTTTTTACTTTTTCAGGCAATTTTTTAAATTTTTTATAAAAAAAGAAATAGCGAAATCGGTTCAGCTGCTCTCAAGATTTGCGCTTAGCAACACATTCAGCGATTCATTTTTATATTATAGATTACTTATTGGTACTTGAACGTTGTATAATATTCTACCACAACTACTTACTTGTACAATAAAATGAAAACGTTACAAATAACGGCGTCCCGTTTGTGAAACTTATTATTGGATCATCATAATCATCATCATCATCATTACAGACAGACCTTTACAAATCCACTGCTAAACATGGGCCTCCCCCATGAAGCACGGTCCTGAGCCTGTAACCATCGACTTTCTGCATATCTTACCAGGTTGTCACTCCATCTAGTGGGGGGCTGAACTCCACTTCGCTTACCGGTACGGGGCTGCCATTTGAAGATCTAACCCAATGAGGAAGAAAGGTTATTTTTGAATTCGACTTTGAAATTCTAACCAACTTTTATTTTTTTACGAAAGTTTTAACTGCTATATTACTAAGACATCACGTAATATAAAAATAACGGTTTAGTTCGTGGAACTTCATATTTTCTCTTCCAACAAATTCCGTAGTTGACTCAATAAAAGCCAAGTTATTACAAGGCAAGAAAGAAAATATCAGGGTTCAATGCTATAATTATGCGGTTAGAACCGTGTGCAAGGCAGCCCTAATCGTGTCTAGCTGATAAATGGGTAATTTTGTGGTTTAGAGAAAAACAACAGTAATCTTATAATAGTATAAAGTAAGTACTGTGACACATATCGTCATTGAATCACCGTTTTTTTTTCGTAGGAAAATCTTTTTTTTTTTATAGGATAAGGGTGACAAACGAGCACACAGTCTACCTGATGGTAAGTGGTTGCTGCGGCCCATAGACATCTACATCTATCCTCTATAACAAATCAAAATGCAGTTGCGTTGTCACCCGTGAGGACTAAGATGGAATGCCTCATTTCCAGTAAACAGGGCCTCCGGCCACCTGCACTCACCAAGCGCAACGCAGAGGTAAACCTCTACTTCACGCTGGTATTCTGTGAGGTCGTGGTACCACCCCGGTTCGAGCCGGCCCATCCGTGCGACAGCAAAAGCCGCCACGTGGCTCTACCACTGTTAAAATCTTAATAGAAACCTCTTTACTACAGACAGTTAGAGATTTTGCTGGACATGCGGATAAAAACGTTTCTCTCTTCCACATAATCGGAACGAACTAAGGTAACATTTTCCCATGGTGCGAATCATTTTGAAGACGATATAAAACGTATTTTCAACCGGCCTCCAAAAGGGAGGAGATTTCACAATTTAATTTTTTTAATTTTTTTATGTCTCCTCAGAACTTTTTTCTAAGTCAACCGATTTTGATCATTATTTTTTTTTATTTAAACGTTCGTGCTTTTCTTGTAGTTTCATATAAATTGGATCAAGATCTAACTGGTAGTTTTTAAGTTATCCTTGATAATGGGTATTTAATTGACTTTGACTACATTGATGATGTGCTCATTTTATTTATATTGAAGTCGGTTGTACAACATTTTTAATTTTACCACTTGTCCTTGACAGCAATCCTTTTATAACCATTCACTAAATAATCGCCATTTATATTAGTTGGTTAACCCCTTGTGATTCCATATAAAAAAAAAACAGTCTAATTCTTTATGGTATGGATTTTAAATTATAAACTTCATGTTAGTAATTCATGGTAGTAGCGTAACAGAATCCATCACTCCATTTCGTCACGAGAGTGTCGTCTATGAGAAAAGTCAGGAATATCTCATAGCTTCCAAAATATAGCGGTATACTCGTATAGACGTCTCGTTTACGCTACACGTGAAATAACAATTACAGTACAATTTGGTAACGGGCAGTCGTTTTAAAATTGCAAGACACGTTGTCCAAGAGATATGTGGTGTATAGTACCCCAATTATACATCCTAACGGAATTAGTTCCTCGTTCTAAATTTTCTTAGATCGAAGGAACTTTAAGATTTAGTGTTTGAGATAGGGTTATATTACACATATAATTAAGAATACAGTTACACTCGGAAACCAACTATTTGTCGTTTAGAAATAATATTGAATACGGTTGAGATTCGAAAACAGAACCTGTAATTTGTTTATCATAGTTATATAATTTATACTTGCGATTGTTATCACTTGGTAAAACTCCAGCTTCATTTTTGTGATTTGGATAAACACAGTTTTATACATTCATTCAAAACAATCATATTATGTGCTCTAAATCAAATTACAGAAGGTAGAAAATATTTATTTATTTATAATAATACAAAAGTTACTTTACGTCTGTTTGTAAGTGGCTACAGCAGTAAATAGACACTTGTAACAGTATCATCCTAAGGACTTGGAACGTTACACAGACTGGTGTATATTTTTATATTCGTAAATTGCATATGGACGAACATTTAGACCCGGAACCATTATTTTAGGCCATTCCAAGATTTATTTAGTGCGAGATTTCAACTTTTCTTTCTGCTAGCTCTTTTATCCTTCAATTCAAAATATTATCTGCACTGGAGACATATAAAATACCACAGATATATGTGCAAAAATTGGACTTCTTACAAGTAGAATCTGCTGCGCTAATGGCAACACCATGAAGTTTCTTTCACCAACCCGTAAGGATCCAGCATAATATATCCATTAGCCCGCGGTTGGTACTAATGGAGATTACCTTAAATAATCTAGACTGCGGTGCCAGAAATACGGAGACAAACATAGGATAACGAGACTCAGAAACAAACGATTTGTACACATGTTGGTCTCAGCTTTGGTACAGCATCAACACATGCGACGTGTAGCAAGCTAGGTACTCTGATTGTTAGACCACAATCGGAAAAGAATATAAGGTTTTATGGCCAACATGGGTCACTTATCATCAGGTCGACTAAGCTGTCATTTATAACTTCAAGAGCACTTATAAATATAGATATATATATATATATATATATATATATATATATATATATATATATGTATATATTTCCACCTTTAACATACCTGTCTGACCAGCATAACGCGTCATCGCGATACCTGGAACAGAAAAAAAAATGTTTTAATTAAAGATGATTATAATAGCGCCCATTTTTAAATTAATTTTTTTTAAATAATCCTTTCTCTTTAAAGACACAAATAGACATTTGCCAAACAAAATTGACTCTTAATAGTGGACTTCAGGCCGTAAAAGTCTACATCTTCGACATTTACTGTTGCTGTGCTTTGATTGGCGATTGCTGCAACAGACATCCCGCACGTTTGACGATGTTTGTGTAGCCTATCGGTCTGAGAATAGTTTTTTTTTATTAATAAAAATTCTAGCAATGCTAAACATTAATAAAATTCGCTATTAGGGGTGTTGTTGGGATGTGACGATAATTGTAAGACATAACATTTTTATATTCCACGTAAATTTTAGATAATTTATTTAAATCTCAATAACTTAATAAATAATCCCTTGTCAAATCTGTTGCTATGTGGTGGATTCTTTTTTAAAATGCCCAAATATTCCCAGAACCACTAACCCAAAATAATACATGGGTAATAAGAATGGATGTCTAAATTAATAAATAAATTGTACAAAGGCATTTCTGATTATTATCTGCTTTCCATTTCATTAAAACAACTACATCCTTAGCAAGCTCAATACAGTGATTTCCGAAGAAGACTGTCACAGAGTTATTTAAACATATTTTATTTGTCTTCATTTAGATTAGTTACAATATTTAAAACTTACATTATTAATTTATGGATGCTATTTTACTTATGCTTTTGTATACAACTTTGAAATGACAAATAAATTTAAAAAAATTATCAAATTGATTTAACAATAAACGAATCAACATTTTATTTTGAATAAATAAATAAAATACAAATTTTAATTTCAGGTACCATTGTCATCTCGACAAATCATCATAGATATCGATATCGCTGATTAGTTGCTACAGTAATGAATATAAGAATCGTATCGGCAAAACCATATATCGTTACGTCCTTAAAAACGTATCCAATACCATAAAGTAGCTCATTTAACATAAATACCGCACAGATTATCATCGGAACTGCGTTAATCAATGAATTACTTCAAAATGGCATAACGAGATAAAATAAAAAGGTTCAAGCACTTGATAAATATTACTTGTGTATTCAAAAAAGTTTATATTCAATCCTTATATCGTAAGTGAAATGAGCATCGAAACAACTATGCCTTTCATGCTCACTTAAAATAAAGCTGAAGTGCTGGAAGTGACATTGGTACGAATGTGAAAATGGCAGTTATATAAACTGCATTTATTTTATTAAAAAATTATGAAATGCTAGTTATTTGATATTTAAAGGTTAATTATCAATTAAATAAAGAAGATGGTTGCCCTACGTTCTTCGAGGACCGGATGAGTTTTCTGCCGACTTCCAAAAAGGAGACGGTACTCAATTCGACTGTATGTTTTTTTAATGTGTGTTACCTCATAACTTTTTACTGGGTGAACCGATGTCGATGATTCTTTTTTATTTGGAAGCTGGTACTTCTCGTGTGGTCCCATATGAATTTGATCAAGGTCGGACCAATAGTTTTTGAGTTATTCTTAATAAGTTATATTGAAGTCGGCTGTACAAAATTTTTAATTTTGAATTATTGTACAATATGGTCCCTTTTTTCGTATATTGCTATTCTTTACTCCCCAGTTTGTTACGTGTAGTATCGAATACTATCTCATACCGTCTCTTGGGTATGGTAAGAGGTGACAGAGGGAAATAAAACTGATAGGCTGCAGCATCTACCTGATAACAATTCACAATAATGAAAACACTGTGATTGCCAACTCTCATTACTTTATACGTGGTAGAGCCACGCTGCAGCTATATTATGGTTGTAGCACGGGTGGGTCGGCTCGACCGGGGAAGAGCCACGCTCTCACAGAGTACCTGCGTAAAGTAGCAGCTTAATGCTGCTGTGTTTCGTAAGGTGAGTGTAGAGAACCGGAGACCCTTTTTACTGGAAAAAAGACATTCCATCTCAGTCCTCAGGGTCGACAAAGCATCTGCCTTTTGATTCTTAATCGTGGATAAATGTAGATGTCTATGGACCACAGCAACCACTTACCATCAGGTGGACTGATGATAATTTATTATTCAAAAAATCCGAGGGTGGCAACTAGTGTAAATATCGCTTCTATTAGGTAATAACGTTATTGTTTCGGTCCTTTTTCAAACGACTTCAAAAAAGGAGAAGGTTTTCAATTTGCCGGAATCTTTTTATTTATGTATGTTCACCGATTACTCAAAGACGCCTGAACCGATTTTCAAAAATCCTTTTTGCTTCAAAGGGTATACTTCCCAGGTGGTCCCATATAAATTCTATAAAAATCGGTTGAGGGGTTTTTAAAAAAATTAACAAAAAATTATATATTCATATTGAAGTCATTTGTACAAAATTTTAAATTAACCACTTGTTAAAGTATCAATTTAAAATTTACAGCGATCTTAATAAAAATAAATAATAATAATGTCCTCCAGACCGTATTTCGATCACGGCGGCCAGCCTCAACGGAGACTAGCCATCGGCGCAGGACAGGATTATAGTGCCCAAGTGTATGCGCAAGCACAGCTGCACTCTCTATTGCCTCACTCTCATAGTTCGATGGGACGGTAAACCGACAGCACCGGAGAGAGATCAGGCGCAGGACCAACGGCTTTACGTGCTTTCCTAGGCACGGAGGGGAGACACCGCCAACTTCCTGACTCCGGACAGCTACTGAGAATTTCTTGATGGAAAAACTCTAACTGATTTTTTTGACCCGACCCGGGATTCAAACCTGGTACCTCATGATCACTACTACACACTACAACCACTAGACTAACGAGGCAGTCGATAATAACATGTGAGCGGATGTGGCGAACCGTGTAGTGGCGATGTAAGAATTTCCACTTCCCCATATCATTCCGTGTGTGTCGTAAAAGACGACAGACGGAAGTGCAATAAAAGTTCTTCAGCGGCATCTTCCTAATAACTACTCAAAATAATAGACGACTTAGGTGGCCAACCCGCCTGTCAAACTTGACAACTATCGCATATATCTACCCTGCGTGGCAAATTAAGAGAGGTTCTATGTTCAGCAGTGGTTTGATAGAATATGATGATGATATTAGAGAAGTTATTGCGAAATTAGTGTTGTGTCGCTAGCACGCACGTTCGCCTCATAAACGATCTATGGCCCATTACCTTTTTAAAGACATAAGTTTCATTCTCCACCTATTATAATAAATACTATAACTATTTTTTAATAGTATAAGTGTAACAAACGAGCACACAGTCCATCTCATGGTAAGTGGTTGCTGTGGCCCACAGACATCTACATATATTCTCGATTACGAATTAAAATGCACATAAGTTGTCATCTGTGAGGACTAAGATGGAATGCTTCGTTGCGAGTAAAAATGATCTCCGGTTCTCTGCACTTATCATATCAAACACAGCAGCGTCAAGCTGCTATTTTACGCTGGTATTCTGTGAGAGCGTGGTCCCTCCCCGGTCAAGCCGACCCATTCGTGCTACACCAATACTACTAATGTGAGCTGCAACGTGGCTCTACGACGTAAAAAATAACGTTTGAAAGTTATCGGTCTTCGCGTAGTAATTTAATAATACACGTATTATTTCAAATTTTCTATATATTTTAAATGTGGACTATTTTCCATCTTAATTTAAAAAAATATAATCATTAATTATATAATACCAAAGATCGTTCAATCCTTCAAGATACTGTTTACTTTTGAAACAAATGAAAATATTAACAAATCCTTATTGCTATAATTTATATGGTAGAGTCACGCTGTAGGTTATTAGGCTGCAGCGCTAATGTGTTAGCTTAACCGGGAAGGACCTGTGTGTTGTGGTTCGTATGATGAGTGACAAGAACCAGGACCTTTATACTGGTAATGAGACGAGGCATTCTATCTTAATCCTCAGGGATGAATGACAATGCTTTTCCATTTCGGTTATCTCTATTGAGGATTGATGTGGGTCTATACAGGTCACAGCACCCATTTTCTATAAACAACCATCCAAGCATAGAAAAATGCCAGTCCTATAAAAATATTAAAACCGAAATTATTACATAACAGCCAAATGTCAATATACGTTCTACTACTGGTACAGGCCACCTTTCGCTTCTGAGAGGGCTTCAAAACATAATATATAAGTCCATCGTACTGCTCTTTCAAGCAAACTACACATGTCCACGAAATTTTCTAAACTTTCAGACATGTAGATTTCCGTAAAGATTTTCTAAACCGCCGCATCACTTCTTTTATATTTTAAACGCATCATTACTTCCGAGCAACACAATTTAAGTTTAAAACGTAAAGACAAAACCTAACTTACCATTTCTATACCTATTATTATCTCTTCCCGCAATCTATACATCCGTGACCTAGACCATTTTCAAAGTCTACGACCTCCCGGGCGCTAAATGAATAATTCAGAACGAACGACGGGCAAGTACAGGCTACATTATTAATAACTGGCTAACACATTACCGCTCAGCTAAGTAGGACTTGCAAACTGCACTGATGGAATGCCAACCCTACGAACAAAAGTACTGGTGGCTTACGATTACTTAGTACTAGTTTTTGCCATCGGTTTCAGTTAGGCCTTACAGATAAAAGATATATATATATGAAATAAGGTAGTTATGATAAGGATATATAACGACTGAAAGCAGGACATACAGTAAATGGGGCTCTTCACTCTATTTTGGGAAGTCAGAATGTGTCAAAAAGGCACGTATGGCAATTCACAAATGCTTCTCTACCTTAATGTATGTTAGTAAAAGTAGGGTATGGCAGAAGAAGCACGAGAATAGAATAAATGCTGTAGGAAAACGGTCATTAAGGAGTATGTTAGGGCTAAGTCTGAATGACAGGATGATAAATTGTGTGATAAGAGAAAATTGTGGTTTGCAAGATGATGTTGTGACCAGGATTATGAACCGGAGCATATATATATTATGCTTCGGTGGTTTGGTTATGTAGAAAGA